AAAAAAAAAAAAAAGAAAATGCAATTTCCTTTTACCTATGGAGGGCTCTAAAGGGATTTGAATGCCATTGGCTTGCTGGGTTTCAGATGTGTAGTCTGAGATTCCAGCTGATCGATCACAAATAGAGAGCATTTGGTCCCTGGACTTCATATATCCTTCCATCAACAAGTCTGCCCTCTGGGTTTCTCTGCAACACTGGACACTCCCTCAAGTCCTCTCATGAGCCACTCTCTGGAAGACTTCTTACCCTTCAGAAACAGGTTATCCCTGTTGGTAACACGAAGAAAGGGGGGCAAACTCCAGAGCCCCCAAGTCACGGCCCACAACATGCAGACCCAAGCATGGCTCACCTCGGAGGAGAGCCTGGGGCTGCCAGCCAGCCCTCAGAGGGGTTGGGTCCACCTGAAGTCATTACTGGTAGGTTTTTCTGCTGTACGTGAGTTTTCCAAGACCCAGATCCACAGCTGTAAAGAGAAATCTCTAGGCCTCTGACACAGATCTGCCTCAGAAAGGCCGAGGGTAAAGAAGAGCATAAACAAGAAGACAGATGAAAACAGAGCTGCTTGCTTCAGGCAGCAATTCTTTCAGAAAAGTCAAACTGTGAATCTCCCAAGCTGCCCATAGATGAGAATTCTCTCCTTGAAAATCCCTGGCTGGGGGCTGCTAAGCCGCCGGGCTCCTGAGATGTTGGCACCATATTCTCAATTTCTATCTATATTTAAGACAATTTTTTAATTCTTCAGGAAATGCAGAATTCCTTGCAGGAATTGCTTTACATGTTTCTCATAAACAGAATATTTCAACTAACCCTGGAAATCCATACAAGGACTCAAACTCTTAGCAGTGAGAGGATTTCTGTCCAAGTACCTTGAAATGGCAATTTTCCGGAGGTGAAGTTGACCTGGGCTAGTCTTGGCTAGACCAAATGGTCCTGATGCATTTTTTCCACGCGAAATTTGACATCTGAATATACAACGTGCATTGTTTTTAGATCACTGTTCTTCTACAATTGACAGGCTCTACTACACAGTAAATACAATAGAATGTGGATGTGTTCAGGAAGGGAAAGTAACCATGAAGAATTTTACCTGTCACTATACAGGATGGACAGCAGCCGCTGAAGGCCTTCCCTTTCAACATCCTTCATCCATTTTCACAGAGACTCTTCCTAGCTCATAGGTGCCCTCTCTATTTAAAGGCTCATCAAGAAAATACCATAGTAAAGGCTACAATTAGTTTTCAGCCTTGAAAGTGTATTATAGTTTAAATATCAGTATTTCTCTTCTCCCCTGTTGAGTAAGCAGCAGTAACCTCAGAGTGAGTGAGGAAGGAGGATAAACTCAGAGGCACAGCAGCAGGAGGCAGCAGAACTAAGGCTGTGGATTGGAAGCAACAATGTGGTTTATCGTCCCTGCTATTAGAACACGATCTGAGAGCCCATCCCACCCTCAGATGAAATTAACATGCAATTGAGTTGTAGTCTTACTAATACTGTCTGCCCATACTGGCTTCTGAACACAACAGAGGGCCAGGGGAAGACCCATCTGGGAACCCTGACAAAGATGTTGGAAGCCCAAAACCATGGTGCTTAGGTTTAGACTCGGCATTTGGTAGAAATCCAGGCACTGAAAACAAGCCCTTGGAAGAGATGAAGGGTGTAGACCCCTGGGCTTTTACATCCAATTGACACAAATCTTTAAAGCTAAGAGCTGGGAAGAGAGCTGGCCCCACTGGCTGGGTGCCTAGGCAAACGGAGGTTCCGACGAGGGATCTGTGTGGGAAGGAGCATGGGCTGGCATTGACGGGTCGAGTGACCATGCGGGAATATTTCCAGCCTGTGACCGCGAACTGCCAGGAAAAAACTCACATTTTTAACAACCAACATAAATACTCCAGCCCTGACTGGGATAAGGAGGTCATGGGAGACCAGTAACGGAAGTGGAGAGACTGCAAAAGCCTCCGTCTCCCTGCCACCCAGCACAAAGCCGACAGATTCCCAAGGACCACTTCCCTGTCACTGATGTCATCACCATATTCAAGCCACCCCCAATTAAATTGGGCTCGTAATTTCTCATAAGATGGCCACTTGGAAGTTGGAACATGTATTTCCCTAAACTTGGAACTTGGGTTAGATTTGTGGAATTTCTCTTCTTTTGGCTGAATGGCCTTATCCCCAGTATCCTGCGATGGGACCACCACCACCAGCCACACTGCCTGCTGGCCCTTCCTCCACGTAGCCCAGGCCCTCATGCAAGGAGGGTGCTTGATGTTCTTCCTTAATTCTGAAGAATCAGAGGCAGTACATAAAGTCTCTTGTAAGAAAATGGCATTTTCCTTAAGAAAGTGATACTAATGGACATGAATTTGGTCATTATGTATGATGCACACTTTCAGGTACTTTACACGTATGAAATTCATTTCCCTTTTTGCAGTTCTGTGAGTTAGGTGCTACCTTGGTTCTGGAGGCCATAAGGAATTGCCATAGACCAGGGTGGCTTTGAAAGAACAGAAACGTATTTCCTGCAATTCTGAAGGCTGGAAGTCAGAGATTTGGTGCCAACATGGTTATGTCCTGGCGAGGCCCCTCTTCTGGGTTGCAGACTGTGGGCGTCTCGCTGTCTCCTCTGTTTTACTTTTTTTTCCCTTAGGATAAGGCCTGGTTCTGCCATCCAGGTTGGAGTGCAGCAGCATGATCTCGGCTCACTGCATCTTCCATCTCCAAGGCTCAAACTCAGATCATCCTCCCACCTCAGCCTCCCGACTAGCTGGGACTAATGGTGCCCATGTTCCACTTTTTACCCTATGAGATCAATTTTTTTTTGTAGCTTCCACCTATAAGTGAGAATCTGTGGGGCATTTAACTTCCTCCTCTTGGCTTATTTCACTTAACAAATGTCCTCCAGTTCTATCCATGTT